TGTCTGTCGTACATAATATATAATACACACAGCTCTTTGATTGGTGGAGACCTTACAAACAGCTCTTTGATTGGTGGAGACCTACTGCCGGGTACGGAGAGGGGAGGTGCCTAAGGGAGGAGGGTCAGGGGAGGGGCCTAAGGAAGGGGGGAGTCAGGTAAACAGCTCTTTGATTGGTGGAGACCTACTGCCGGGTACGGAGAGGGGAGGTGCCTAAGGGAGGAGGGTCAGGGGAGGGGCCTAAGGAAGGGGGGAGTCAGGAGAGGGGCCTGAGGGGGGGGGTCAGGGGAGGGGCCTGAGGGGGGGTCAGCGGAGGGGCCTGAGGGAGGGGGGGTCAGGGGAGGGGCTTAAGGATATGGGAGGGGGTGCTCAGGGGAGGGGCCTAACAGAAGGGGGGTTAGGGGAGGGGCCTAAGGGAAGGGGGGTCAGGGGAGGGGCCTGAGGATATGGGGGGGGGTGGTCAGGGGAGGGGCCTAAGAGAAAGGCGGTCATGGGAGGGGCCTAATGGGGGAGGGGCCTAAGGGAGGGGGGGGGGGGCGATAGTTCAGGGGGCTGTCTGCCTGGCTACCTAAAGTCAAGTTATCTTGTATACATACAGGTAGGAACAACAGGTTCCACACTGCCCACCAGGGATTATTTGTCTGTCTGTCGTGCACGAATGCGCTGTCCAACCAAGTTCCTACCTGCCCACTCCGAAGGAACGTGTTATATTATGTACGACAGACAAACAGACAGTCAGACAGACAGACAGCTAAATAATCCCTGGTGGGCAGTGTGGAACATTGTTCCTCCCTGTACCAGGTCCTCCTGTACAACAGGTGAGGGAGATAGCATCTCCCCACTCTGGCACCCAATCCATTGCTCTGTCTTACCATAGACACCGACTTGTTCACTGAGCTGTGGAAGGATGAGTTTTTCTCTCGATACTCATCTCACTAATGCGATTTCGCAGCTGAGCCTCTTCGATTGATATTACTATAAACAATAACAACTTATTTCTTTAAGTGTTTTTTTCTCTTTTTGTGTGTTTTTTAAAGAATATATTCCTTTCATATATTATGTTCATTAAAGGTAAATCCCGACAGGTGTGTACAGTAGCCGTGTGCATCGTGTTTGTGCACATAGGATGCAGGTTCACATTCCAGGCTGTGTCTCATAATGTAAATAACAACAATTTAAAGTATTTAAAGTATTTTACTTCCTTCTTCACCGTCGCTATAAGAGAGGTACTGGTCTAGCGTCTCATTGAGCCACACAGCGAGCGATTCGAATGAAGCCAACCACCCTTGCCTCCAGCCTGCTCATTCCACTCCAATAACTCCATGCTCCCAGCATCTGCTGCTGCACCACTTCAGTGTTCGTCAATGGGTCTACGTGTTCCTCTAAGTGGGCCTTGGAGACTCGATCTGTTCTACGGGTCTGTGCATGTGTGGATGTCTACGTCAATCTAGGTTGGTGGTTACTCTCGTAACCTCTATACCCACAATATCTGGAAATATCCAGGCAACTTCACCTGTCCCCTGGCTAATGTTGGTAGAACCCCCCCCCCCCCCCCATCAACTCTACCTCGGTAACCCCCTTGGTTTCTTTCTGATTGTCACCAGGTGGGTATGTGAATAGGTATTCAAAGTTTAACCTGCCGAGAACTGGAGAAACCAGAATGAGTCTCATATACAAGCTTAAACTGGTGCAGGAGTCTGCCTGTAACAGGCGATGATTGTAGCAGCTGTGTGCAATCACATTTGAGATAACATCTCGCCGTGGAGGTCAGATGTTAACTCCATTGCCTTATATGCACGAGGTCGTGTGTTCGATCTCGACCCTGACGCCTGTATATTTGGTGTTTGGTCATGTGTATTTTTCTCTGGATTCCTCCGGTTTGTCGCTCCATATTTACAATCAACAAATGCTCAAAGTATTTGGCTGCTGTAAATTTCCACATTATAAGCCTTCGTTGCGCTATTATATGTGATAGCCAAGGTGCTTCATAAAAATAGCTATATAGCTCAGTGGCTCTTACCTGGTAAAAATAAAATGGGAAATCGTTTGCGGTGTCATTTTTGTATGGTGAACGTCGACTTTGCTGTAGACAGAGCAGTGACAGTGACAACACCCGCTGTCGTGGAACCTCTGAAACGAAGTGGCAAGCACTGCCACAAAACCACCTCGCTGGCACATAACGTGGGTCAATTGATCTTTATTTTACTTGGCAATATCACCCTCACCAAAGTAAGCATCGGTGCACGTTACAGCAGGACTCATGGTACTGAGGGCATAGAAAAACAAGAATGGAAAAAAAAACTCATCACAACCTCAGTGGCTCTCACTGAATGGGAAAATAAAGTGAATCCATACGCAATGTATAGCGTGAAAGATGTATACTTCGCAAATAAAGTAAATACAAATTATTGAAACCATTTAAAAATACAATTGGGTGCGATTGGTGGGTGAGTTGTCTTTGATATAAGGACATTTACTCCCATCACGTAATTCTGTGCTCCTTAACGGATGTAATTTGATTTGACACAAGCTGAGCCGACTTGTTTTTGGCCCCTATACAAGTTAACCACGCTTGCACGACCATCGTTTCCAAAGCAACGAGGGTGGCCTGTGGTAAAAATATGGAAACAATTTACCTGGGAAATGTCCTCCCAGATTGACGCGTGGCAAAAAATGTTTAGCATCATGGAAAATAAAAGGAAAAATGCCTTCAAAATGCAATCACCTGATTGCAAAAAATCCACCCCCATACAGAAATACAGGTCTCACTGTTTCTGCCACTTGAACAAACAATGTGTAATGCGAGCGTAAGCGGGGTTTCGCTGCTCGGCTCTGGGCCAATCATACGGCCTGGGGTATTGGGGGCGGGGCCCACTATGGAGGCGTATGTGAAGGTCAACCGCTCACCTCTGGTCCAATCGGATGCGAGGAGAGAGGAAGCGGAGCCTAAGGGCGGAGCCAGCAGGGCGCTATGCGGAGGTCGGGATCTAGAAGGTTCAGTGAAGGGCGTGGTGAGAGGGTGGAGACATGATCACGTGGTGAAGGGAATATAGGTGGGATCCGGAAGGGGCTCCGGGTCAGTTGGTGGAGTCACGGAGCAGGACCACGTTGCGTTTCCGAAGGGTACCTGCGCCATCAGCCACGTGGCTGGAGACGCTTCCAGCACACCGTCAGCCAACGGTGTGCGGGAGCGGGGAGCGGTGCGACTGACGGAAGGGGCGCGCGGGACGCGCGCGAGGAGCAGCCGGTCCGCTGTCATTCATCGTTGTCTGCATGCGATCCAGGGGCCTGTCCTACTGGGGGGACCCTAGCTGATTCGCATCGGACAGTGACGCAGTGGCGGAAACTGGCTCGCAGAGTCGTTGCAGCCGCCACAGGGTCCTCTACCATGCCGGGCTCTATACAGGGGGTTGATGTGCGGATTTTAGTTGATTTGGGCGCATCGGCCACTATCGTCTCGGATGTCATTTACCATCTTCTTTCCATTCCGGCGTCAAGGGTACGTCCGGCATTCGATGCGTGTGTTGCTGCTAACGGGGGTAGTATGGGCATCGTGGGCCAGGTGGAAGCACACATTTCCGTTGGGGACGTGTCGGCTTTAGGGACGGTGTTGATCTCCAGGTCCCTCCCTGTGCCTTGCTAATTGGGGACCGATTTCCTTGCAAAAATGCCAATTAAAATTAGGGTGGATCAGGGTTGCATTGAGTAGCCGGCGGGCCGTAAGATTTTCTTTCTGCCGCCGCCATTGGGCCGTTCCTCCCCAGACCTACCGGTGCAGGCGCTGGCCGACGTCTCGGTCGACATTCCTCCAGGCTCGCAAATGCTCATTACCCTGTGCTATCGTAAACCCGTGCCTGGGGTTAATGTGGTGGCGGGTGTGTTGCTGTCACCGTCCAACACTGCTACCGGCGGCCTGGCACTGGTTGCAGCCCGGACAATTGTTCGTCCGGGTCAGCCTCCGTTTTTACAAGTTTTGCACGGGGGTGCAGACAATGTCGTGGTGCCGGCCTGCTGGCCGCTGACATTATCTCTCCATCTAACAGCCCGTGGGGTGCTCTGGTTGTTCTTGTGAAGAAGAAGGATGGTAGCCTGCGCTTTTGTGTTGATTTCTGGAGGCTGAATAAAGTATCGGTTGTGGACGCGTACCCCCTGTCGCGTATGGATGATTCCCTCGATGCCTTGTCTGGGGCGAAATTTTTTTCGACCCTCGACCTCTCCTCAGGGTTCTGGCAGCTCCCCCTTGACGAGTTGTCGAGGGAAAAGATGGCTTTCTGTACGCCTCAGGAGCTTTTTCAGTTTAATTGTCTCCCGATGGGATTGAACGCCACCCCCGCTACGTTCCAAAGGTTGATGGAACTCGTGTTGACCGGCCTCCAGTGGGACACGTGCCAGATATATTTGGACGACTTCATTGTTTTCAGCCGCACGTTTGAGGAGCATCTTCAGAGATTGGATGCCGTTTTTGCTAGGGTGCATTCCGCTAATTTGAAATTTAAGCCCAAGAAGTGTCACGTATTGCAACACTCCGTGCGCTATTTGGGTCACATTGTCAGCCCTGATGGGGTGGCCACGGACCCGGACAAAACGGCATGCGTTCGGGACTGGCCAACTCCGACCACGGTGGGGGACGTGCGTCAATTTGTCGGGTTTGCTTCCTATTACCGCCGATTTGTACCAAATTTTGCTACGATCGCTAGGCTGCTGCACCTCCTTACGGCGAAGAATCAGAGGTTCAAATGGGGGCCGGAGGAGGAACAGGCATTTCGCGGCCTACGCGATTGATTGGCGTCAGCACCGACACTGGATTACCCCGATTTCTCTTTGCCTTTCATTTTGGATACAGACGCCGTCTTATCGCAGTGTAAGGGCGGCATCGAATGCATTGTGGCTTACGGGAGTCACGTTCTCTCTCCGGCTGAGACCCGCTATTGTGTCACCCGGCGGGAATTGTTGGCTTTCGTGCATTTTGTCTGCCAATACCGCCCTTATCTGTATGGCAGAAAGTTCATTGTGCGCACGGACCATGCGGCTTTGCAATACTCCTTGAAAGTTGACCAGCCCTCGGGCCAGCTGCCACGATGGCTGGAAACTTTACAAGAGTTCTCGTTTGACATTCAGTACCGTAAGGGTTCTCGTCACGCTAATGCGGATGCTCCCTCTCGACTGCCACATGGGTTCGCCTGCGCGTGTGCCTCGGGCACAAATAGGTGCACGCGGGCCCCACAGCCCTCTCGGCCTGTCATGTCCGCTGTGGATAAGCCCGCGGACTCCAACTGTCCGAAGCCGGCTGATTGGGTTTTGAATTTGCCGCGTTCCGTGTGGGTTCGTGAAAAGTTGCTCGATGACTCGCTTGCGGCCTTGCGGGGTCAGGCTGCCAAGTCAAAGGGATATCCATCGTCAGATGGGATTCCTGGAGCAGCTCTCCGGGATGGATTGCTGATGTGGAGAAAAGACTTGCGAGGCCGCTAGCGCCTTGTCGTTCCATTGCCGTTGCGATATGAGTTGATTCGGGTTCTGCACGCTGAGAAGTTGTTACATCTTGGGGTGCAGCAAACCTTGTTGACGTTACGTGATTATTTCTGGTCTTTTACATCGGGGGGGGGGGGGGGGTCATGTAATGCGAGCGTAAGCGGGGTTTCGCTGCTCGGCTCTGGGCCAATCATATGTTCTGGGATATTGGGGGTGGAGCCCAGTATGGGGGCGTATGTGAAGGTCCGCCGCTCACCTCCGGTCCATTCGGATGCGAGGAGAGAGGGGGCGGAGCCTAAGGGCGGAGCCAGCGGGGCGCTATACAGAGGTCGGGATCTGGAAGGTTCGGTGAAGGGCGCGGTGAGAGGGTGGAGACAGGATCACGTGGTGAAGGGAATATAGGTGGGATCCGGAATGGGCTCCGGGTCAGTTAGTGGAGTCACGGAGCAGGACCACGTTGGGTGGCCGAAGGGTATCTGCGCCATCAGCCACGTGGCTGGAGACGCTTCCAGCACATCGTCAGCCAACGGTGTGCGGGAGCGGGGAGCGGTGCGACTGACGGAAGTGGCGCGCGGGGCGTGCGCGAGGAGCAGCCGGTCCGCTGTCGGGACCAGCGGAGTGTGAGCGTCAACGAGAATAAAGAGAGAGAGACGGAGACCCAGCAGTGTGTCGGCGAAGTCCTTTATTATAAATGCACAACGCATCTCACCTGCTGTTGCCTGAGCACAAGAGTGATCTGGTTCGGTCAGGAAGCCACTGGAGCTATGGTACTTTAAAATAATCAAAATTTCAAAACGAATTTCTTTAGAACTGCTTCTTGTTGTGTTTAGTTTGTTGTCCTTCCCCTGCAACTCCGATTAGCTCAGTTGGCTGCGTACGATGTGAAAGAAGTTCCAAATATACGTCTCAGAGAGACTGGGAGAGTGGGAGTATGGGTGAATGAGTGAGTGGGTGTTATAAGTGGGTGAGTGGGTGAGTGGACAAGTGAGTGTGTGAGTGCGTGAGTGTATGATTGGGCCAGTCAATGGGTGTGTAATTACGGAATGCTTTGATGATGTTTGCTGGCAAAGTCACCCTTGGAAAAGAGTTTCTTAGCTCAAAGGGATCTACTCGGGGAAGTAAACTTATGGTTGTTCTGAAAATCCTTGAGGAGATGCCGTCAGGATTTTTTAGCTGCATGATGACTGTGCATTGCACCACGCTGTGCCTCAACACGCCAGAGGAGCAGCGTGGTGTGATGAGCAAAGACCAGACCACTTGGGGAGGGGAGGGGCTGTGGAAAGATGAAGGACCCGTGTTTAATAGCTGTGCATGTGAATGTGAAACAACGCATGTGAAATAAGCAGTGGGTGCGTCTGTGAATTATTGGGACGAGAATATCCAGTCTCGGAGTTTTGGACAACGTGAGGGTGAGAGAAGGTGACATCATCAACAGTGGAAGATGGAGGTAGGTAGAGTGGGCGATATATTCACACTGCAAGCAAAAGGCTCAAAATTACAGGATGGGTCACGGGAGTCTACAGACAAATTCCATCTTAGATGCCACAATGACATTCAAGCAACTCGTGCCCAGGCAGAATAATAGCGTACGCCGTTTCGATTGCAACACAAGCAATCACCATATGTTAGCCGACTCTCTGTGTTGTATTGCATTATATTTTTAAGCCTACATAGGTTTGTTTTCTCTTTCATTTGTACCTGATGATGATTGCTTTTGTTGCAATCTAAACGTCATATGCTATTATTTAATTTATTTTTTCTTTCTACGTGACTTTACCGAAAGAACCATAAAGATAGATGTAGTTTTAGTATCTTGCTTTTAAGCGTTATTGTTATTTTAAATGTCAAGTAAACTCGTTTGCTAGCAACGAGCCCCCCACTCCGACCAGCCTTCAAGAGAGACACAGCCTGCAGCATGGATATTGTGCAGGAGAAATGTCAAATATGCGTTGGGAATGTCAATGCCACGTTGCGATAAAAACACACACAATAATAAATAATTAATAACTAACTAACACAAAACACACTAAAACGCAACATGAAACAAATACATTTTGATTTAAAGCTTTCGTGACTGCAGGGATTCATATTCTTGGTTCATTCGGTAAAGTCACGTAAAAGGGAAAAAATACATTTATAAAACAATGTTTTTTTAAATTTCCCTTCTACGTGACTTTACTGAAAGAACCAAGAGTATGAAATAAATACCTTACTAACACAACGTTCGCTAGTCGTGGACACGTGATAAATTTACGTATTGTAGCCTCAGTATCCTGGTGCGGGGGGGGGGGCAGTGGTGTTCATTGGGGGCCATCATACCAAAAAGACTGAAAAGACTGATTTAGTTACATTTAACATTAATATCAGTGAGAGCAGTGCAGTACTCTATTTTGTATCTAAAGACTGCTTGCATTCTGAAGAAAAACATTTCCACGAAATATATTTTAAACATTTTGAATATTTTCAATCACAGAAGCTGCAGCAGCCAAAAGGTGTGGTCACAGTTACTCCCATGCTCCCACAACAGCATTACACACAATTACACAATGCACACACATCACAAGGATAATTTCCTTTCCAGTTAGAATGGACTTGTGGACAGTTTTTTCCCCCAGTGCGGTATGAAGTTCAGAATTGAAAAAAAAAACTCACTTAGAACATGCCACACACAAGGTAACATTTTTTTGTAAATATAAAGCAGGTATCAGGTGAGCGAGATAAAATCTCCCAGCCACCGTAGCACCCAATCGCTCTGTCTTGCCACGAACACCAACTTGTGTGCTAAGCTGTAGGATAAGCTTTTCTCTCAATACTCATCTCAGAATAAGCCACGGCAGCTGAGCCTTGCCGATTTATATTAACAACACTAATTTATTGAAATGATTTAATATTTCGATTTAAAGCTTTCGTGACTGCAATAATTAATCTTATTGGTTCTTTCGGTAAAGTCACGTAGAAGGGAAATAATAAAATAACAAAAATAAAACATAATGAAATACAATTCTCACGACGTTTCGGCCACAACGCAAGCAGCCGTCCTCAGGTGAAGAACAGGGCTGTCGGAAAGACAGCGTCTGAATGAACACCACCAAGCTTGGCAGCGTCTATATAAGCTGGGTTAGAGGAGGAGAGAGCCTTGACAAAGGAATTTGCATATCAACAGAGGAATTTAGCATATTTATGGAAATGCAGATATGGGATTAGTCACTACATGTGGAATGTGTGTGGGGGGCCTCAAAGTCATTATATGCTCGTGTATTATGTAGGATTAGCAGTAATAAGGGAGAAAGTAGAATTAGCATTAATAAGGGGAAGGAATTTTAATAGTAAGGAGCTGCAGCAGCCAAACCACCACGTAAAAAACTAAAATATAAACTACATCGATATCATCAATATACTCAATATACTCTCCAATAAGCTGAGCTACTAATAACAGTAAGTCATACATTACAATTACATGTCGCAAAAAATATAATATGCCTCCAGCTAAACTTTTTTCTTACATCACATGGATCTACCCCGTACTATATACTGCCATAGACAAACCCAACATTAAATTAAACACTGCATTACCATACATTGTAATATTACACTATGTATTATTCTACAGCAGGGTGGGTAGAAACGTCGTGAGAATTGTATTTTATTATGTTTAATTTTTATTATTTTATTAATTCCCTTCTACGTGACTTTACCTAAAGAACCAAGAATATGATTTAATATTTTAAAGAGTAAATCTAATTAATAAATGTTGTTCATATCATGGTGTGTGCTGTAGACATCTTCACGTTGAAGCAGGTGTTTGTGCCCCAAAGGCGTGGGTTCACATTCCAGGCAGTCACTAGATGTAAACGATGACAATGAAAATATTTTAAGTATGTTACTTCCTTCTTCACCATCGCTATAAGAGAGAGGTCCTGGTCCAGCGTCTATCTGATATACACAGCGAGCGTGACTCCCAGTGAGAGTGTGCTGCGCTGCTACATCTGCCTGGGCACGTTTGTCTGCCTCTCCACGCTGAGCTGCGGACACTCATTCTGCGTCCGGTGCCTGGAGGCCGCCTGGGAGACAGCGAGCAGCTTCAGCTTCCCGCAGTGCCGTGCGACCTTCCCTGTGCGACCCCAGGTGAGGAAGAACGTGGCCCTTGCCAACCTGGCGGAGCAGCTTAGAGTTGGAGACAGGATGGCCGCGGCCGTTGTGTGTGACATCTGCGGTGACGGCCAGACTCCTGCAGTGAAGACGTGCCTGAGATGTGAGATGTCCTTCTGTGCGACGCACTTGAGGCCTCACTTGGAGAATCTCAGGTTGAGAGAACACCTCCTGGTGGCTCCCATCGCGAACCTGGAGGAGCGAAGGTGTCGGGAGCACAGAGAGGAGCTCATTCTTTACTGTGAACAGGACAAAATCCCGGTCTGCCCAGTCTGCCCCGTCACAGGAGACCACTCCGGACACAGAGTCATCACAGTGGAAAAAGCGCAACAGACAAGACAGGTGAAGTGTCATTTACCATTGTAATCCACATTGTTACAGGAGGTTGAGGCATTCACATCAGTAGGCTGTGACCCCTCGCCTCGACCATGTGAGTTCCTGTTGTGATCAAACGCCCCTTTACAGGGAGTGCCAGGAGATGTGGCAGGGTGGTTCAGACATGAAAACGCTGAGATGATAACGCTGTAATGCTGAGTTGAAATCTAGTCGGTAGCTCATGGTTGAAACCAGATTCTCAAGTTTAGTGAGTTGATGGTCTAAGCCCAGCCAACATTTGACAGCATGTTAAATCAGATTTTACATGAGAATTCAAATTATTAGTTTGACTAAGTGAGAAACGTTACTATGTAAAGTATGGCGTGTGAGAAGTAGCTACACCCGTCACTGGAAGAGGTTTAAAATATATTTTAGAAATACGTGATATTTGTTGATGATGTTGTCTTAGAATATTGAATTGCTCCACAGTAGTTCCCTTTGGATTATTTGTCTCAATACATGTGCAGTCCGTATTCAATTGTGGGAAAAGTAAAAGTATAAATGAAGACATATGCAGAAATATAATGATAACAGATGTGTGTATGTGTGTTTAACTTATTTCGTAGCCAACCGTGCTAATCGGAGAGATGCAGCAGGATGATGATCTACAAGTGATCCACCAATGGCAATGGCGAGCACCACATATTTATTTATGTATCTACCCCAACGCAGGAGGAGCTCAGAGTCAAGAAAGAAGGGAGAGACGAGAAGAGGAACACGGCGGCGACATGGACACAGACACTCAGGGATGACTACCGGCGCGTGGAGGTACAGAGAGAGACGGCAGTCGCACAAATCCCTCTTCTGGTTTTCCCTATGAATTGTATTTCATTTACAATGCAACTTCCAACATGACAGCAGTTTTGGGGACGGACGGAATCAATCCACGTTGGACGATACATTTGCGACTTGCCCTGTCGATTCCTTTATTGATCACAACCACAATGCTTATGGAAGATTGCGATCCTCCTTTTTGGCCCCCCAAATCTGGATTGTACCAACATAGCCGGAGTGCAAGGAAGAGTGGACGAGAGTATTGCATTATTTGCCTATTCCAGCACATTTTCACTTGAAAAATACGGTATTGTCACGTGTATTTGTTATAGATATTCATAAACATTTGACGCAATTAATCAGAATGACCTCGGCAAGAGAATTGGTTTCATTTATATTCGCGTTTCCCTCCGACGCACCATTTGGTAGATCCAGAGTGGGACGGACAGACAGACAGACAGATGCGAATGATACCCATAGATGTGTTTTTTTTATTTCCCCCAGATACACACTCAGCAACGTGTAGCTACATACAGAAGTATTTAATTACTATTTGGTTCTTTCATTAAAGTCACGTAGGTAGAAACATTTAAATACAAATACATCACGACGTTTCGATTGCAACACAAGCGGTCGTCCTTAGGTGAAAATAGCGAGAGAGCTGTTACAAATAAGGGGTTATATGTTTATTAACCAGGTTAGTCATAACTTGCTGTGATGCTTCCATCCTTCCTGCCGCTTGGCTGTTACCTTCGACTCTCTCAGTTGTATTGCCCTGTTGGATGCCTTTGCATTAACGGGCTGTGCTATCACTAACATTTTTGCTCCCTGATGTATCGATGGCTCTCTCTTGCTGTTCTATAGACTGTATGTCTCGCTGGCACGGCCACCATGGACTTTTACACGCTTTCCTCTCATAGCGCAGCAGCCAGCGCCGCAGTTTGTGTTTAACCAGGTTCCTCTCACAGCGCAGCGGCCAGCACCGCAGCTTGTCTCACACATATACATGTTATTAACTTGCTCATCTTCCTATTCTCCCTAATCCCTAATCTCCCATTAACATACCATTAACACTGCTACCGTGCTCTTGTACAGCCACGTTGTTCTTATGCGGGGACGGACGCTCATTAACGTTGACATGCTATTCTCTCTCCCTAATCACTCTCTCCATATTCTCTCTCTCTCTTCAGAGTTAGAACGGTATTCTTACGCGACGACGGAAGCTCATTAACTTTGACTTGCTAATCTCTCTCTCCCTAATCTCCCTCTCTCCATAATCTCCCCATTAACTGATTAAAATATATAACCCCTTGTTTGTAACAGCTCTCTCACTGTTTTCGCCTGAGAACGACCGCTTGTGTTGCGATCGAAATGTCGTGATTTATTTTCTTTTTCTACCTACGTGACTTTACCAAAATAATCAAATAGTATGGATTCCTGCAGTCACGAAGGCTTCAAATCAAGATAGAAGTATTTCCTATACTACTGTAACGGGTTCCGGAGACACTTGTAGATGTAACTTCTTAATTACAATACAACACTCCAACAGTCCTGATACTCTGTTACAGCCTAGGTAGACAGCCTAGCTACACAGCCTAGATACTCTAGATACTCTACTCTGGCTACGCTCGCCCTCACAAGGTCGTAGAGTCGGGAGTTCCAGAGTCCCAGCGCTGGCTCTCACAGCATCCCAGGGTCTTCAGATGGCTGGTCGTGGGTCTTGGGTCTTGAGTTACAACTGGGCCCCGATCGTCCAGGGAGCTCTCCTTTTATGCCTGGTCCGACGAGGGGTGGGGCCGTGTGCGCCACCAGACATCCCACAGAGCACACACAGCCCCCCCCCCCCATTGGCGGCGCCAAAAAGGCTTAAGCGCCTGGGAACCCAACGCCTGGCGCCCAAAGGCTTAAAAGCGTCTGGACCCCCTGGGAACCCAGTGCCTGGCGCCCAGAGGCTTACGCGTCTGGACCCACCTGGGAACCCAGAGCCTACAGCAGCCCCTCCCTTCTTATGTCACTACATTACCCCCCTCTACGTAGCCTCCAGCCGTCCCGGCTGTCAATAATTAGAAAGTTTAAATTAACGAAAGGGAGAGAGAGAAAAAAATATGCGAGCCTCAACAGGAAAAGAAAAGAGAACAAGAAAGCAACCATAAAAACCATAACCAACCTGTACAACTCTACACTATATACAAGCATCAATCAACAAAAAGGTGAAGCAATAACACGTGAACAAACGACCCGCGGCACACCTAGCCCTCCTCGGGATCTGCATAGAAAACGGGGAATTAACAACAAATATACAGATTCCGACGCGTTGGATGCACAACCAACACCGGTAATCGAACCGAAATCACACAACCACCGCATGGATGACAGGGATCCACACCACTCTGCCAGCCTCCCATCCGTCAGGTGGAGAGAAGGCGAAGATCAACATGTCGAGCATCCCTCTACATACACTTATCCGGACGTCTGTCTACGTCCCGGGTCGAGAAGTCGTACTTCAGGGCCGACTCATGTACTGGGCAAAGAAGTCGCACTTCAGGGCTGCTCCAGTATCTACATTTTTAAATATATATATAAAATCTTCTTGGTTCTTTCGGTAAAGTCACGTAGAAGGGAAGTAATAAAATAATAAAAATAAAACATAATAAAACAATTCTCATGACGTTTCGGCCACAACGCAAGCAGCCGTCCTCAGGTGAAAACCAGGTCCGTCGAGGCGACAGAGTCTGAATGAAACAGCACACGAGCTTGGAGCATATATATAAGCTGGGCGCATTGACAAAGGAATTTGCATATCATAAGGAATTTAGCATATTTATGGGAAATGCAGGAATGTGATTAGTACTGCATATGCATGTGCATTATGCAGGATTAACAGCATCAAAGGGAGCTGCAGTTACTGCTGCTGCAGCAGTTGCTGCTGATGCTGCAGTTTCTGCTGCTGCTGCAGTTGCTGCTGCTGCTGCAGTTGCTGCTGCTGCTGCACTTGCTGCTGCTGCTGCACTTGCTGCTGCTGCTGCACTTGCTGCTGCTGCTGCACTTGCTGCTGCTGCTGCAGTTGCTGCCTTATCCATTTTAATATAACACTATGTATTATTCTACCCACCCTAATGTGTATCATACTGCTATATGTTTACTGTACAATTACGACACCATACATTACTCTGCACACTGCACCATGCCAGTGAGTGGAACGCGGTCTGAAAGTCACCGTAAACGTGAACACAATCAGTTAAGATCCGAAATGGTTTATTACGTCCTTCCAATGATTGCTAAGCCAGAATCCATCTTCTCGGTTGAAATTGTCTCTGTGTTTGTATATGTGGATCGCCTCATGAACGAATCTCTCATGATAGCCAGATGGCTTGCAGAGAACCTCTGTCTTGGAGAAGTCAATGTCATGTGAGCCCACTGAATTGTAACAGTGATATGCCACGGCTGAGGTGTTTGTCCTACCGTGTTTCAGGTCTGCCTTATGTTCACGGATGCGGTCCGAGACATGTCGTTTGGTTTCTCCAATGTAACTGCTACCACAGAGGAAACTTAGTTTGTAGACGCCAGGGTACTGTATGTCTGGAACCACATCTTTTACAGACGGGACCAGATCACGGATTTTATGTACTGTGTTGAATCGGACCTGGATCTTGTGTTTAATCAGGATTTTGGAGATCTTTTTTGTGACCCCAGCAATGTAGGGTAAGGTGATGGTCTTGAAAGGCTCCTCAACAGGATCCTTCTTGATGGTTGGAGTGATGGCTTTGCGGATTGTGTAGTCGGAGTAACCATTAGCCTTAAGAGCTTGGCGTACGTGTTTGAGTTCACTGGAAATGTGTTCATGGTCGGAGATGCATTGGGCTCTATGATATAGAGTCTTGATGAGGGAATTCTTCTGGGATGGATGGTGGTGGGAATCCGGTTTTAGATAAGCATCCGTGTGGGTGGCTTTCCTGTAGACAGAGTGGCTCATTGAACCATCAGGTCTCCTTTTGATTAGGACATCCAAAAAGGGTAGCTTGCCATCATTTTCGACTTCCATGGTGAATTTGATGGCTGGGTGTATGGAATTGATGTGGTCGAGAAATTGGTCTAGAGCAGGCCGGCCATGTGGCCAGATGACAAAAGTGTCGTCTACGTACCTCTTCCATAAGGTCGGGCGTAGAGTGGCAGTCTGGATGGCGTCCGTCTCAAATTTCTCCATGAAGATGTTGGCTACAACCGGAGATAGGGGGGGAGCCCATTGGGGTGCCCTCAATTTGCTTGTAGAAGGTTCCATTCCAGATGAAGTATGTATTGGTTAAGCAGTGTCTCACCACTGAAACACGGTAGGACAAACACCTCAGCCGTGGCAGATCACTGTTACAATTCAGTGGGCTCACATGACATTGCCTTCTCCAAGACAGAGGTTCTCTGCAAGCCATCTGGCTATCATGAGAGATTCGTTCATGAGGCGATCCACATATACAAACACAGAGACAATTTCAACCGAGAAGATGGATTCTGGCTTAGCAATCATTGGAAGGACGTAATAAACCATTTCGGATCTTAACTGATTGTGTTCACGTTTACGGTGACTTTCAGACCGCGTTCCACTCACTGGCATGGTGCAGTGTGCAGAGTAATGTATGGTGTCGTAATTGTACAGTAAACATATAGCAGTATGATACACATTAGGGTGGGTAGAATAATACATAGTGTTATATTAAAATGGATAAGGCAGCAACTGCAGCAGCAGCAGCAGCAAGTGCAGCAGCAGCAGCAAGTGCAGCAGCAGCAGCAAGTGCAGCAGCAGCAACTGCAGCAGCAGCAGCAACTGCAGCAGCAGCAGAAACTGCAGCAGCAGCAGCAACTGCTGCAGCAGCAGTAACTGCAGCTCCCTTTGAGGCTGTTAATCCTGCATAATGCACATGCATATGCAGTACTAATCACATTCCTGCATTTCCCATAAATATGCTAAATTCCTTTTGATATGCAAATTCCTTTGTCAATGCGCCCAGCTTATATATATGCTCCAAGCTCGTGTGCTGTTTCATTCAGACTCTGTCGCCTCGACGGACCTGGTTTTCACCTGAGGACGGCTGCTTGCGTTGTGGCCGAAACGTCGTGAGAATTGTTTTATTATGTTTTATTTTTATTGTTTTATTACTTCCCTTCTACGTGACTTTACCGAAAGAACCAAGAAGATGAATCCCTGCAGTCACGAAAGCTTTAAATCGAAATATATATAAAATTTACATGACACAACCAAAATAAATCTGCCTGCTCCTGTCCATAAATGGTGGCCGCACGCGCGAACCGCATCTCCAAGGCATCCCGTGCTTGCGTCCCAGCAGCCCTCAATGAGGACCACCACCGACATTACATGTCAACCGTTTGCACCCCCCGCCTTTCCAACGTGGCGTCTCCATCCTAAAACCGCGCACGTCGGCCATATCGGGGGGGACTTCAACCCAGTCTCTCTCCAAGACTCGCATCGCAGCATATAGCTGTACCGACCGATCTGAGACCCAATCTTTCTCCAAGACTCGCATCGCAGCATATAGCTGTACCGACCGATCTGAGACCCAACCTCTCTCCAAGACTCGCATCGCAGCATATAGCTGTACCGACCGATCTGAGACCCAACCTCTCTCCAAGACTCGCATCGCAGCATATAGCTGTACCGACCGATCTGAGACCCAACCTCTCTCCAAGACTCGCATCGCAGCATATAGCTGTACCGACCGATCTGAGACGACCCATTGTTCACTCCCTGCACAACATGCACCCTGACAACCGAGGGATACAGTCCCAACATAACGGGACAACTACACCTGAACACCACGAATCTCCAGCCCACTGTTTGAACGCGCCTCGGAGTGTTTCAATCTCCGGGCCGTCAGGTCAAGCCGTCAGCTATTCCATGACGGGACCACACTCTCCGAGCCCTGTGAGCGCACAGCCCACTAGGCCAGACATGCCACGGAGTGTTTCAATCTCCGGGCTGTCAGGTCAAGCCGTCAGCCATAGCATGACGGGACCACACTCTCCGAGCCATGTGAGCACACAGCCCACTAGGCTAGACATGCCACGGAGTGTTTCAATCTCCGCGCTGTCAGGTCAAGCCATCAGCCATAGCATGACGGGACCATACTCTCTGAGCCATGTGAGCACACAGCCCACTAGGCTAGACATGCCACGGAGTGTGTCTATCTCCGGGCTGTCAGGTCAAGCCGTCAGCCATAGCATGACGGGACCACAACTCTCGTGTTAGACACGCAACACCCGCTGGGCCATCCTGGTCAGGATCTGCACCCCAAGATATTTGAGAACCAGCATGACAATTCCAAATCCTTGGCAGCATGTCACCATCTCAAGATAAATGCCCCATACAGTATATACATCGTTAACAATGACAGCACAAGCTATACATTAACAATCACGAACAAAGCTCAATATAAACCATACATTGTTAACAATCACAAGCAAAGTTTCGCACACACATTGACAACACTCACGGGCGAAGCTCCACACAGTTTACCCAACAACAGTCACGACTCCCCGACGACAACGAAGAAAATGTCAACAAAAAAATCATTAATCCGGAGCGCGTAAATGTACGAAATGTCAGGGGCCTGGTTTCCCGACCTCCAACCTTTGGCCAGAGCAGCAGGGGCGGCGAGCAGCGAGTCGGTCCATGTGCCGGCCCCGGCGCTGGTTACAGTAAGAATGGCGCCCTCACTGTCCGGTCGCAGCGCTGATGACGCGCTGTGCTAGGTTGCCAACAGCTGTCACCCGGCGGTGAGGGACGCAGCGCTGATGACGCGGCGTCGTCGGGTTGGCACACGCTGGGCCCGGAAGTGACGTCGCTCCCAGCGGTCACTGCTCCTCTGGTGGAAGTGACGACACACCCGGAAGTGTCCCTCACATCCGTGGGGGGAATGGCGGCGGCGGCGGCGGGCTCGGGCGAGCGCCGCGCCGCCTCTCTCCCTCCCGCCATCGGCCGCGAGCACCGCAGCTCGCCCAGGAGGGAGGCGGTGGCGCAGAGCAGCTCTGCGAGGCGAAGCAGCGCCTCCTCCATCTCTGCTCCCGACGCTGGAGAGGGGACGGTCGGCGGAGCAGACAGCTGCTCAGCCGGCGGTGCGACGTTGTTGTCGGCCGGCGGTGCAGCGTCACTGTCGGCCGGCGTTGGCCGCCCCATTGCTGCCTGCTCCTCTTCATCGCCGTCAGGACTGAAGGTACGTGGCTTACTTCTTGTCTCCATAGCCACTTCTAACACCAAATGTAACGGGTTCCGGAGACACTTGTAGATGTAACTTCTTTATTACAATACAACACTCCAACAGTCCTGATACTCTGTTACAGCCTAGGTACACAGCCTAGCTACACAGCCTAGATACTCTAGATACTCTACTCTGGCTACGCTCGCCCTCACAAGGTCGTAGAGTCGGGAGTTCCAGAGTCCCAGCACTGGCTCTCACAGCATCCCAGGGTCTTCAGATGGCTGGTCGTGGGTCTTGGGTCTTGAGTTACAACTGGGCCCCGATCGTCCAGGGAGCTCTCCTTTTATGCCTGGTCCGACGAGGGGTGGGGCCGTGTGCGCCACCAGACATCCCACAGAGCACACACAGCCCCCCCCCCCATTGGCGGCGCCAAAAAGGCTTAAGCGCCTGGGAACCCAACGCCTGGCGCCCAAAGGCTTAAAAGCGTCTGGACCCCCTGGGAACCCAGTGCCTGGCGCCCAGAGGCTTACGCGTCTGGACCCACCTGGGAACCCAGAGCCTACAGCAGCCCCTCCCTTCTTATGTCACTACACTACCCTTGCCTATGATACTTTTCCCTTATATTCCATTCTCATTCTCCCTGTGCTATATATGTGTAATAAAGGACTCTTGCACTGGGTCTGTTTCCGTTGTCCTTTATTGGTTCGTACACTTTGCCCGCACGGCGTCTCGCTCAGAGTCTCCTCCGTCTCCCGCTCGGCAGCCCCACTGCTGCCGTCGCTCCTGCAGACTTGTTGCTGCTCCTCACTATGTAGCCCCGCTGCTGGCTCATTACTCAGCCTCTCTGCCTCCGACCTGCAGCCCCACGGCTGCTCACTATGCAGCCCCGCTGCTGGCTCGTTACTCAGCCTCTCTGCCTCCAACCTGCAGCCCCACGGCTGCTCACTATGCAGCCCCGCTGCTGGCTCTCCGTCTCCTCCGTGCCCGGACACCGCTGGCCAACGGTGCCGAGTCCCGACCTGTGGCGATCACGCCACTTTCCTCCTCCTGCCCTGCGTGGCCTCCTCCTGTCTTTAATTCCACACTCTCCCCCAGCCCTTCCGGTTCCTGTCCTTAAAAGCTCTCTCTCTCCCCACGTGACCCTAACTCCTCCCACCTGTTACGTCACATCCCGCGAGCCCGTTTACGCTCGCATTACATATGTTTCCGAGCTCCCAATGCACACGTCGCCCATCTCCATGTACATAATCGAGGTATGGTAACAATCATTGCCTGTACGACGCCACATTGCGTCGTTACCTTACGAGTGACTCAACTCGGAACTTTCTGTGTAGGAGTCTGTGCGTGGGATCAAGGCACAGATCAGCCGAGAGTTTGAGCGCCGCAGGGAGCAGCTTACGGAGGAGGAGAGGGAGGCGCTTGAGCGCGTGGATGAGGAGGGCTGCTCCGTACTGTCACGCATCCAGGCGGACATCGCTTGCTACGAGAGCAGAGCACGCGGCCTGGAGCAGGAGATCAACCAGCTGCTCGCCGCCCTCGCCGTGCAGGACCCACTCTCCTTCCTGCAGGTGGCAGCACCTCCATTCACTCGCCGTGGTAGCTAGGATATGTTAAGTACCTCGCCTGGTATGCAGGAGGTCGTGGGTTCAATTATAACCCTGACGCCGGCTATATATTTGGATTTAGTGGTATCTCTCACCCTGTAGTCGTGTGGATTTTTCCCTGGGTCTCCCGGTTTTCCCTCCATATTTAGAAACGTTCTTTTTGTAGTATTTGGCTGATATACATTTCCATGTGATAAGCCACTTTGTTGAGCTATCATTTGTGGCCAGGTTACTTCTGAAAAAGAGCTATATAGCTCAGTGGGCCTTACCTGGCAAAGTATTTTATTATTATTATAGTTTATACTCACAGTCTTGGTTTCTCAAAAGAGGGTTGATCTACAACTAGGATAGGTGCACCTCGCTGTGAGATGTTGACATTGTTGGCTATCTTATTTCAGTGTTTATTGATCTAGGAGGAAGTGGTGGTCTCCAGAAATAAATGCGCTTTTGCTTCTAAGTGACATTCAGACCTGGAATTGTCCAGTACAACATCGCCATTTAGCCGGCCTGGTATGCAGGAGGTCATGGGTCCGACCCTGATCCTGGCGACGCCTGCGGTAAATTTAGAGTTTGCATTTCGCTCTGTTCTCTCCCACCGTGGTCAAGTATATTATTCTTTGGATCATCCGGTTCATCTCCTCCACATTTATAATCAACGTTACGCGTTTAAGGTATTTGGCTGCTACTTCAAATGTCAACTGGATAAACCAATTTGTTGAGCTATGATGTGTGACCAGGTCGCTTCTAAAAAAACAGCAAAATAGCTCAGTGGGCCTTACCTGATGAAATAAAAAGTTTGGTTTATTCAGAGTTCGAAACATGAGTTGTTGAAAATTACTTAACCAATTTTTTAGCTGCTAGACTAGACCTGCAAAGAGTGGTTTTGTTATTGGTTGGGGTCCATGTCCAGTTAAATGAATCCTGTTTGTGATGCAAAGAGTACAAAAGCAATTCAAGTATCAAAGTATTAATAGCTCTGGTTGAGAATTGATGCCTTGCAATAGGTATCTGTTTGGTGTTTGAACATCTTAACGCCTATTTTAATACTCAGAAAGGATAAAGCCTTTGCTTATTTTTTTTATAATTGATTTGAAGCTTTCGTGACTGCAGGAATCCATACTCTTTGGTTATTTCGGTAAAGTCACGTAGATAGAAAAAATAAAATAAAAATAAATCATGCAACACAAGCGGTCGAAACGTCGCGATAATTTTGTATTTAATTGTTTCTACCTACGTGAAATTACCGGAAGAACCAAAGAGTATAATCTCGATATTGACAAATAGGTCCATTAGAGAGCCCTGTGTTTCACCATTCTCGGTGTGCAGGTATTTGTTAATTCCCTGATGTCACGCTCCACTGTAAACAGCAGGTGGAGGTGGGGCATCTGTTTAGGATGTCAATGTTAATTTGAAATGCGGGTTTGTGTTTTTCAGGATCCCCTGCATGAGAATCTCTGGTCAGTGCCAACCCAGACTCAATCTCGAGCTCTGTCTGTCACCTGGTGGACAAATCAGCAAACGGTCGTGATGTGATTCCTAATAAATCCAATTGTATGCAGTTGTATCCCATATAGGCAGTCCTTGGATTATGCACGTAATTTGTTCCTGATACTTATTCGTAAGTCGAACGGTTCTGGAACTCGAACCCAATAATGCACCATATTTAAATGCCAACACAGTCAGTGTTATAAATAGTGTTATGGTTCAACAAAGAGGGAAGCATTGTTAAACTCCTAATTAAGAATAAATATCGAAAGAGGGAAGCATTGTTAAACTCATGATTTAGAATACATATCGAAAGAGGGAAGCATTGTTAAACTCATAAGTAAGAATAAATATCGTACATAGTAAATACAACATCAAATTAAGTAACATGAATAGAAAAAAAGTAATATTTTCACTTTCCTTGATGCTAGTTTGTAGTCGGAAGAGGGGCGATGAGTCACCACAATTGTACAGACACACAAACGGGCATGTGCGCATGCACACACACAAAGGACACCCCAACAACAACAATCCCATGTGTAGCCTTAACAGGCTGTTTGGGGCAAGTGCTGTTAGCGAGCAGCGCCTAAGAAGGCTGCCACTGTGGCACACGAGGGGGATGTTGGTTCCTAAGTCGAGAACTGTCTGTCTTGTCCATGTGTAGAGAAACATCAACCCTCATTAGATTGTATGTGTCCCGTGCTGTGTGTAGAGAGACACAGACCCCCATTTGACTCTGTGTGACCCACGCTGTGTGTAGCGAGACACAGACCCTCATTAAACTCTGTGTGTCCCATGCTATGTGTAGAAAGACACAGACCCTCATTAGAGTCTGTGTCCCATGCTGTGTGCAGAGATACACAGACCCTCATTAGACTCTCTGTGTCCCATGTTGTGGGTAGAGAGACACAGACCATCATTAGACTCGGTGTGTGTACCGTGCTGTGTAGAGAGACATGGACCCTCATTAGACTCTGTGTGTATCACGCTGTGTGTGTAGAGAGACAGGGACCCTCATTAGACTCTGTGTGTGTCCTGTTCTGTGAGTGCAGGAGGAGCTCAGTCTCCCAGGAGACTCAGGATGACCCAGCCCCCGTCTCCCATGGTCTGAACCTCACAAAAGTCATCTTAGTGTGCGGCGTCCAAACTAAACTTCTGTCTTTTCTCGGTACGTTCCTCTGCCACGACGATCTTCGTTAGACTCCATTACAGACTCCAAAATGCCGACAAATCCTACCCATTTGGAGGGCGTCCTCTATTTTACCCAGGTTGAGTGCATTAATGCAGGGTAACCAGTTGGCAAGGGAGACCTGCGTCTATTCAGATCATGAAACGGGAACCGAGGTGCTGGGTGAAAGATCGCTAACAACACGAAGGGTCTCACTCATCAAGAGTTGGAAACAACAACAGCAACGTGACAGTGCGTTTCTTGAGAGCAAAAGGGCAACTTTGTAAGCTATGGATGAAGCATGTTCCAGTCCCGTCACGCTCATTCAGACATTGACCATCACGCGTTGGTGCAGTGGGTTCACGGTTGGTTGACGAAAGTGGCTGCTAGGTGAGAATTAAGATGAACATGAACCGAATGATAAGTTACTTATTGCTCTTAGGGCACTCACTGCAGGAAAATTGAGATTAAACTGTTAACATAAAACGAAGTGCAGGATGGATATTGCAACTGTTTCATCATCGAAAAGGCAGCATTCATAACCCAGGACTTAAAAAGTACAAGGGAATGTAAAAGATTGACTGGGTCTCATAGTTTCAGTACAAGATCCTCATTTACAGCCCTTTGTCAATCCATCTCTGGATGAAGGCCTCCAAATAGTGTCGAATATGGAGGTTGCTTGACCATACTTCACCACGGTGGCCACTGTGTGTCTGTGTTTTTGTTAATGGGTAGGACAAGGACCAGTTCTAATCGCTCGGCCCAATTGTTAGCCACAACCAGTAATCAAACTGATGTCGCTTGGTTCACAGCGACACGAGTGAACAACAACAACTGCTGGTTCACCCACTGCTCCAGCACGAGATTACTCTCACTCAAGTGACAGCTGATTGGATCGCTGCAGCGAGATTCTTGACACATAGCAATCACCGTGCATCACTACACGAAGTTCAGAGAGCCGGACTAAGGCAGCTTTCGGATTCTAAGAGTGCAATCACAACGGATGATGCAATCGCGGTCAAAATACATCCCAGACTAAACACTCACACTCTCGCTACCTTACCCACACACCCTTGCTACCTCACCCACACACCCACTCACACTCTTATCACCCCACTCACTCATCTTCCCACTCACCCACCTACTCACCCACCCACTCACCATCTCACTCCCTCACTCACCCGCTCACCCACCCACTCACACTCTTACTCTGCCACCTCCCTCTCTCACACTCTTATTACCTCACTCACCCACCCACTCACCACACTGCAGGCCACCTTACTTCTCTTTCTGCATCTTCCCTCGCTCCCATCCACTTGGGAGACCTCTCATCTCTGCTCCCAAGATGCTACACGAACCACGCCTAAGTCAACAAATGTATTCATTCTAATTTATTGCAACTTGTTTTGTGCTGTTTGTTGCTGCAAGCTCGGCGTTTTGTGTCCAGAATCCTCGATTTGAAAATGAAAGGATGCCCAAAGCTCAGAGAGCCACACATCATTGCCAACAAGGTTTTTGCCACCAAGTACTAAGTCATGTTTTGCAGAGGGGTCAAATACTTATTTCCCTCATTAAAATGCAAATCAATTGAACATTTTTGACTTGCGTTTTTCTGAATTTTGATGTTGTTATTCTGTCTCTCACTGTTCAAATAAACCTACCATTAAAATTATAGACTGATCATTTCTTTGTCAGGGGGCAAACGTACAAAATCAGCAGGTGATCAAATACTTTTTTCCCTTACTGTAGTTGTGAGGAGTTAAGCACTGTAGGGCTATCACATTAAGAGTACACGTATAGAGACACAAATAGAGGTCACTGCGTTGTTGCGGTGGACACGGTTTTTGGGGTGCCGCTGAGCACCGGGAGCCTCCATTGGAGGTTTGAGGGACACGTGACTGGGAGCGGGGAGCTCCGGTCTTGATATAGCAGGGGGCGTGGCCAAGGCCGTAGCGAGGCCGCTGCCAGGGAAGTAAAGGGGGGTGCTGAGGGGATTCGGGGCTCGTTTGTGGGGATCAATTGAAAGGTCGTCGCTCTTCGCTCCTCGTTTGTCGTGTAGTCTTGACTGGGATTCGTGGGTCAGGCAGCATGTGTGCTGCTGACTCGTTCGTTTAGTTTAACTCACACACACATAGCGACAGATAGCCACACCTATCTAGAGGACTCAGAGTGTTCATAGTTTGTTTATTAAACGTGTTACCTCCAACTTATAGTGTGTGCGCCCCCGTGTATGTTACACACTACACAGGCATCAGAAGTGATTGTTAGTTACATGTAGCTAGGTAGCGATTATATATGCTGACTAGGCAAAAAGCTCTCACCCAGTCACCTTCGGATGAAGAGACGGATGACGGGGTGACGCCACGGATGGCCCCGGGTGCTGAAACCCTGGTGATGAAGGGCGGGGAGATCCTGGCGCCAGCGCAGCAGTGGGAACAAGCGTTTGGTTTGCCGCCACTGCCAGGGAGGGAGTGCTGCTCCAGGAAGGATTGTCTCGGCAACCTCCAAGCTGCTGCCGCAGCTTTGGCTGCTGTGTTACAGCAGTAGGACGCCGACGCAGTGTTAACGCTGCACCCGCAGACATCCCTCGCCTTTTCCGGCATGCAGGAATCAGCAAAGGCTTACGCCGGGCGGGAGCCCACCAAAACCCAAGCTGCGCTTGAAGCATATCCCGCCAAAATCGACCACCCGCCAACAGCGCTGCGAGCCGACTGCGGTTTGTGAAGGCGCCTTCCCTTTGTTCGCGAGTTTGCCGCTGCTGGTGGTGACTGGGACGCTTTCCACCATGGTTTATCCACCACCTGCACGCTGGCAGGGTGGATGGAGAAGGCGCTGTTGGTGCTCCCTACGGCGCTCGACGACGACGACGCGCTGGCGGCGTTCGACGCTATTCCCGACGGCGACAAAGCGACACTCGCTCAAGCGCTCGCACAAATGGGGGCGATTTTCACCGCACCGTCATCAAGGTGCCACAGGTTTGCTACACGCGGGCGAGGAAAGGCCGAGATGCCCCTTGCCTATCGCATAGCACTCCTAGCTTTGGCAAAGTTGGCGTTTCCCAGGATGGACCAAGTCGGCCGGGATTCACTCATCCTCGAGAAAATGCTGCTGCTGGCCCAAGACCTCCATGTCGTTTTGCCAGTTACAGAAGACAACGACGTGACTTTCTTTCCAGTTGCGAGGTGCCTCGAGGCACATTTTAACACCTGTCAGCGTGCCGGCATGGTCGCAAGCATGGGTCCAGCCAAAAAGGAGGGAGCACCCACGGGAAATTGGCTTCAACAAACCGCCTTTTCCCGTCCAACGGCGCATCTGGAAAGGGTCGGCGGAGCACCACCAGGGCATATGAGATCGGCCACGGGGGGCTTCCCCTCGCCTGAGGGACGGCCCGGTCATGTATTTTAAGTGTGGGCTGCCGGGTCATGTGTCCATGGGGTACCGTGCTCGACGTGGAGGGCCTTCAATGATGACGCCGCCTGCTGATTGTTGTCCCTTTGCTCCGCTGGGCCCTCAGGCGAATATACGGCACACCCCACACACAGCCCCTTGTCTCACCTCAGTCATCTGTTTTAACGTCGCGAGTCACGGATTTGCGTTGGGATGCATTGTCTTCCGATTGAGAGTTTGTGCGTGACGGTTGGCCTCGGAACCCCGTGCAAGTGACGGCCCTGCCACGCCGTATTGTTGCAGCTGCGGCGGATTCATCTGCGGTTGTGGGGACTGTCGAAGGTGTCGAGGTGCGGGTCCTTGTTGACATTGGTGCGTCAACGACCATCATTTCGGAAATGTTTTTTGAGTGCTTGCCGCCAAAATCGCGTGCCATTTTTCCCATTTCAATTCCCTGCTTGGCCGCGTAGGGGACATCCGGTTGACGGGTCCGGTACTCATTTCTAAATCTTTAGCCGTATGCTGTCTGTTAGGGACCGATTTCCTAAGTAAAATGCCGCTCAAAATCCTGGTGGATAAGGGCTGCATTGAGTTACCGTCGGGCCACCGAATGGCATTTTTATCATCACCGACTTTGTTTCACACAGCAAATGTTTCGGTCCCTCCAAAGGCAAAGAAAACGGTGAAAATTCCCCCAGTGTACAGATGCGGTTCCTTTGCATCTAAAGGAAGAATCTCGATCACCACACGGTTTCACATGCTGGTTCCCTCCACCAAGGCAGTTTGCGCTCAACATTTAGTCTGCTTGCAGACATTGGTAGCAAGCGATCGACAACCTTTCATCCAGGTTTTGAACATCAATCCGGGTGTGTCAGCGATTTAGAGAGCACTGTCTTGGCTCATGCGTCAGCCGCACGTTGCGAGGAAAAAACGGCAGGAACATGGATGTTGCAGCGGCGGTGGGGCAGGGTGAGGACAGTGACGAGGCATGGTTAGATACTCTATGTTCCATGAGCAAATATTTGTCAACGGCACAGAAGCTTGATCTGTGTGTGCTCTTAACGGAATTCTCCGATGTCTTTAGCAGTTCCAAATTCGATATTGGCTGCACGCCTCTCTCCCGTATCAATGTGGTGCACCCCCACATTAATACGGGAGATTCTGCTCCTATTCGTCTAAATCCTTGTCACCTAAGTCCCAAAGAGAAAGACCATGTGCACCACGCGGTTGACGAGATGGTGGCTGCCGACATTATCTCTCCTTCCAACAGCCCTTGGGGGGTGCCCATCATTCTTGTTAAAAAGCAGGATGGCAGTTTGAGGTTCTGCGTGGATTTCCGCAGACTCAACAATGTCTGCGTGGCAGATGTGTACCCGCTGCCACGGATGGACGACTCGTTGGACGCTTTGTCGGGGGTGCGGTTCTTCTTCACGCTTGATTTCCTGTCAGGATTTTGGCAGTTGCCTTTAGATGACAGCTCTAGGCCAAAAACTGCATTCCATACACCCCCGGGGCCCTTTTAAGTTCAACTGGCTTCCGATGGGACTTCACTCAGCTCTGGCCACATTTCAACGGCTGATGGAGCTGGTATTAGCAGGCCTACAATGGGACACGTGCTTGATTCACCATGACGACGTCATTGTATTCGGATGTAAGTTCGAGGAGCACCTACAGAGATTAAGGGCTGTTTTCCTCAAAATGCGGGCTGCTAAATTGAAGTTTAAGCCGCAGAAGTGACACCTGTTGCAAAGATCGGTCAAGTACTTAGGCCACATCGTCAGCGAATCTGGGATATCAACGGACCCTGACAAAATTGCGCGCATGCGCACATGGCCAACCCCCAAGTCGTTGTGTGAAGTATGTAGTTTTGTCTGGTTCGCCTCTTATCAATGTTTCGTCCCCGGGTTCGCTACGATCGCAAAACCACTCCACGTCCTCACGGCCAAGGGTCAGAAATTTCGGTGGGGGGAGGAGGCTGCATTTGCCACGCTGCGTGACAGCCTGGTCAACCCGCCTCCCCTTCGGTAACCCGATTTTTCTTTGCCCTTCATCCTTGATACAGACGCTAGCAACACGGGTTTAAATGCCGTTTTATCACAGGTTGTGGATGGAGTAGAGCGCGTGGTTGCATACGGGAGAAGAGTGCTGTCCCCGGCGGAGCAATGCTGCTGCATTACACATCCAGAGTTGCTGGCGATAGTTTCTTTCATCCGGCAGTACCGGCTGTACCTCTACGGACGCAAGTTCGAGGTGCGCTCGGATGACGCGGCTCTGCAGTACGCGCTGCATGCTGAGCAGTCGTCCGGCCAGCTGTCCCGTTGACTTGAGGTCCTTTAGGACTATGCATTAGTAGTTTTTTATAGAAAGGGCGTCGGCTACACGAATGCTGACACATTGTCATATTTACCACCTAGAGACAAGAGTGCGTGCATTTCGGGCGCGGGACAGTGCAGGCTCGCCGATTCAGCTCCGCCACGTAGTTGTCACTGCAACCGATATCGCGCACACAGATGCAGCTGACATGCGTGACCACACGCTCGGTATAACCAACACCGAGTGGGGGCGACTCCATGTGGCGGACGCCTCCTTGCTCACTATTAGATGCCGTGTTTGTGACTCCGTGGAGTGAAAGAGCCGACAAGTGTTATCCATGGTAATCCTGCGAGGGGGCCTCCTGATGCGATGGGATGCAGAATTACGAAAATACGTGTTCGTTCCCACCATTCTGCGGGGCAAGTTGATTTGAGCAACACACAAATGCGTTATGTATTTGGGGGTCAAAAGGACCCTGTCCACCCTTCACCTAAACGTTTTCTGGCCCGGCATGACTGCTGACGTTCAGAATGTGCTGAGAGGGAACACTGAATGCGTCTGCCAAAAACCTCCACCAAAAATGGCGTGCCCGCCTCTCCAATTGATTTGTGTATCCTGTGTGAATGAGCTTGATGTGCTCGATATGCTTGTTCCATTACCCACCACCCCACGGGTAAACAAGTATTTTCTGGTGGGTGTAGAGTACTTTTCTTGGTGCCGGACCAGTGGGCTGCGACGCCTTTCTCCACGGGTATGTTCTGGATAAGGGAGCCCTGGGACTCCTTCTCACGGATCAGGGCAATAATTTTTCATCTCAGCTGCAAAAGGAGGTGTGTGACAAGCTGGGCACCAAAAAGATCTGCACTTCGCCTTATCACCCGCAGACTGACAGCATGGTGGAGCACCTACACAGGACCCTGACATCCATGCTATGCCAGCGGGTCAATGTGGAACAAACCGACTGGGACCTGCATGTCCCAGGTATTCTTGTCGCTTATTGATTAGCCCCTTATGCGTCCACCGTTTTTCTAATGTAAGGGAAGGAGCACAATCTGCCTATTGATGTCCAGCTGAATCCGGATCTGGCTCGTAAGAAAATGCCTGACCGTGTACACTTTACCCTCCAGTGCTTGTCAGAGGCTAGGGAGGCCTCCTGAGGTAATTCGGTTTTAAAACAAGCTGCTACAAGCGGTGGGTGGGGATCCGGGAAACTGGGACCAAATGGGTAGTCGAGGATAGGGTGTGGCTTTACTGCCCCCAGGTCCCCGTGGGGACGTCCCCTAACCTATATAAACCTTGGCGAGGCCCCGTGGAAATCGTTGAGGTAAAGAGCCCGCAAAGCGTCCACATCCAATTCAGTCGCAGGTGCTGGTTCGTGCATGCGTCGCGTCTTAAACCGTTTTGTCCGCTTTATGGTGTTCCTTCATCTCCATTCCCTGGGGTCTGTGTGTTGGGTGCGCCCGACGAGCTGGGGCATGCATCAATGGATACGATGCCTCAGGGGTGCTCTGTCTCTTCACCTACAGGGCAGCAGCACCTGAGGTCTGCGGAGCAGCCGGCTACACCTCCGGTTTCGGTTCCAATTGGGGAAGGACATCCATCGTCCAGCCCTTCTTCTCCGGTCAGACAGCCTTCTCCTTCTCTGCTTCGGGAGGGGCCATGCCCCTCAGGCCAGCTTTGTCCCGCTCCGGAACCTCCTGCGGAGGCCTCCCCCAACCCGTCTGGGGGCCCGGCGACAAAGACACGCTCAAATTCTGGTCAGTTCCGATGATTCTCGCCTGCACGCCAAGATTTCCGCACACAAATGGGTTTCTGCCTCACTCGCGAGCCAGAGGGGCCGTTGCTTGAACCAGACCCGTCCTGTGCTCATGTGGGGGAGGCATACGTCCAGCTGTCGGATTTTGCTGGCTGCCGGGAGGGCAGATCCACCCTTGTGAATACCCGTCCTCGCTTCTTAGTTTTCCCTCGCGGATTTTGTTATAATGTTGGGGTGTTTTCCCCGCTCGCGGTGTTCATTGTTCTTGTTAACGGTTAATTGTTCTAGTTTTAAATTGCGGGCCACGCCTTGCAAATTGTGATTTAACAGTCAGCCAGATTGGCTGTGGGAAATTTTGAGGAGTTTTTCTGGAAAATGTTCTGCTTTCTCCTTCAGAATTTTGAGGTTTCCCAGCCAGGTCGGCTAAATTGTTATAGAGGGGCGGAGGTGGGGTAGTGTAGAAGCAAAAATAGAGGTCACTGCGTTGTTGCACCAGCCACGGCTTCTGGAGTTCCGCTGAGTGCCGGGAGTCTCCATTGGAGGTGTGAGGGACACGTGATCGGGAATGGGAAGCTCCGGTCTTGATACAGCAGGGGGCGTGGCCGAGGGCGTAGTGAGGCCGAGGGCATAGCGAGGCCGCAGCCAAGGATATAAAGTGGGAGCGCCAAAGGGATTTGGAGCTCGTTTGTGGGGATCAACTGAAAGGTCTTCGCTCTTCGCTCCTCGTTTGTCGTGTAGTCTTGACTGGGATTCGTGGGTCAGGCAGCATGTATGCTGCTGACCCGTTCATTTAGTTTAACTCACACGCACATAGCGACAGATAGCCACATCTATCTAGAGGACTCAGAGTGTTCATAGTTTGTTTATCAAACGTGTTTCCTCCAACTTATAGTGTGTCCGCCTCCGTGTATGTTACACACTACACACGTGGTCTAGACCGAGTGTACTTGCGGGGGTCGCTAGCCCCCGAAATCCCTCCCTCGATAATGCTAACGGCCGGGCTAGCATCATGAATCGCCCCCCCCGCTGCTAAGCGAACCGCTGCTGAGTTCCTCACCCATGGTGTGGGAGCCGTCGCCCGAGGATTCCCCTCCACCGCGGGTCCGCGTAGCAGGCATGGTTAATTACGTACGCGCACACCCACACACACAGCTCCGCACGGCACTCACTCTTGCGCCGCTCTGCGCCGCGCTGGTCGCTCACGTTACGATCGCGCACCTGGGGTACGCCGATTTCGCACGACGAGAACTTACGCATACACTGTACCACACGCGTTCACACTTATAACACGTAACGAGCACACGCAAGCGGGGCACACGCCGACACAACGACTCAAGTTGCCGCCGCCGTGCGCGCGAGATAAACCGTACAACAATGCGCAGCCGATTACGCGCTCGAGCACACGCAAGCTCGCACAAAGCCAACAGCTTCACTGCGCACCGCGGTTTCGCACACGCGAGCGGGGTGCACGCCGACACGACGACCCGTCCCCTCCCGCACTCGCGCGTGCACGTCAACACAAGTGTCGTGCAAGGACGACTCTCCTCTCACACGGCTGCGCAGGCACGCCAACACACAAAAGTGCTCTCCCCGGGCGTTAACACACACACCTCCGTACCCGCACCATCGTACAGAGACCACGGCCTTTACGCATACAACGACTCCACACCCGCGAATGCAGTGCACGCCAATACCACGTTTAAAAACACCCAACAACACGGTTTTGTTACTACGCTCGAGACTTTATTAACCCTTGTTAACCCACCGAGCCACCCGTGTGTGTGTACGAGCCAGCAAGGCGCTTCCAACCCACTCTCTAGTGGCGTGCAGCCCTATTCTATGCTGCGCTCTCTGCTACACTGCTTTCCTATTCGTCCTTACCCCGAACTAACCTTCTCCTACGGATCCCACTCTCCGCTCTGAGGTGTTGTAAGGCGCGCAATACGATACCGTCTGTAGTCCTAGGTGACCTTGCGGCGCTCAGGTCGTCCTGCAGACGATCCTGCGGCTCGCCCGATGATTCCCTCGTCGTTGACCCCGTGTCACTACTCCAGAAGAAGAGAGTCCCCTACTGCCCCTGCGTTTTCTTTTAAACTATCCACATCAAAGCTAGGCGCCCCCGTCCCGACCGCCTTGGTCTCTCGACCAATCCTGAGCCTAGGATCTCCCGCCCTTTTTCGATCCCGCCGGCCTTTTGACCTTTTTGCTAAGCAGCAGCACCGGGTCCTGATCCTAGCTATCTGCCTTGCTGACCCGTGTTTGTGTTTGTATGCGTTTCTAACTGCGGGGCTCTCTGAGCTCGCCGTGGTCGTGCGATCTCAAATCTGCCCACGGCGCCGCAGTGTTACTTAGCCTGGGAAGGGTCCTGTCCAATTCCCTGGCCCTGAGAAACCGTGGGGTAACCCCCCGAGGGGGCCCTCGGGTGAAAACTCAGGGTAGGTGACCCGACCACAAGGCCCTACGTGGGTGCGGGTGCGTGCTTATGTGGGGGGGTGATGGGGGGCAGTGCAGTGGTGGAAGCCGGGCGGCTCCCTGGCTCGGCAGAGCGGCCCCGTCGTTGTGGTACCACATACTCATACACACAGATGATAATGTATATGCTCCAGTTCAAGCGCTGCTGTTACACAATGGTGGCTAGGTAGATGTTACCTACTTCGCATGTTATACAGAAGGCCGTGGGTTTGATCCCCATCCCGATGCCTGTACATGTGGAGTTTGCATGTCTCTCTCCTTGTGGTCGCATGGATTTTTCTTCTGGTCCTCCGGTTTTTTCCATACACATTTAGAAATCTGCGTTTAGGGTATTTGGCTGCTATACAGTTCCACGTGAAAAGCCACTTCGATGAGCAATCAGCACGTGTGGCCAGGTTTCTACTGTAAAAGAGCTACGTAGCACAGTGCACCTACCGCTACGTTACCACTCACCACACCCACCTACTCTTACTACCCCACTCACTCACCTACTCACTCATCCACTCATTCACCCACTCACTCACCTACGTACACCCCCACTCACCCACTTACTCGCCAACTCATTCACCTACCTAAACCTCCATTTATTCACCCACTCACTCACCTACTCACTAGTTTATATTTCAACAGTTAATATATATATGTAATAAAGGACTCTTGCACCATGTCTGTCTCCGTTGTCCTTTATTCGGTTCGTACAACCTTGCCCGCACGGCGTCCTCGCTCAGTGTCTCCTCTGCCTCCCGCTTGGCAGCCACACTGCTGCCGTTGCTCCTGCAGCCCAGTCGCTGCTCCACCATAAAGTCCCACTGCCGCTCGTTATGCAGCCTCACTGCTGCCCGCTATGCAGCCCCACTGCTGCCCGATATGCAGCCCCGCTGCTGGTCCTCTGTCGCCTCTGTGCCCGGACACCGCTGGCCGACGGTGCCGAGTCTCCAGCTCGTGGCGGTCGCGCCACTTTCCTCCTCCTGCCCCGCGTGGCCTTCCCCTGTCTTTACTCTGACTCTATCCTCGAACCCTTCCGGTTCCTGTCCCTAAATCCTCTCCCCCACGTGACCCTAACTCCTCCCACTTGTTACGTCACATCCAGCGAGCCCATTTACGCTCGCATTACACCACCCTCCCCCGTAGAGAAAATTCCAGCCGTCCTCGGCTGAAACAGAACAAGTAATGCGAGCGACCTCCAACCATCAGCAATGACCGGACAACGGAGAATATAACAATACTAACAATAACAACAACAACAAGAACAACAACAATCAACGAAAAGAAAGAGATTTTGAACGCGTGCGGGTCGCCGGCCCGTCCCGGACGAGCGGCGGCCACCCTGCAGACCGAGAACGCGACGTGGTTTTAGGAGCGACGGGATTAAAACCGCCCGTCGCTATTGGAGGCCCGTCAACGCCAAGGTCCGTTTCCCTGAGAGACCCGAGTCCGGGGTGTCCCGCAACCGTGTCTGTGGTGGGGTTGGAGGGGCGGTGGGGCCAGGTGTCCCCGCAGCCGTGGTAGCCCCACCCAGAGCAGGGTTCGCTGCCTCCGCCAGTGTCACGGCTGGTTCGTCTGTAGAAGGCACGACAGGCGCGCTTGCAGGGTCAACAGGCATAGGCAGAGGTGCGTCGGCAGCAACAGACACCGGCAAGGCAACATCAGGAGATGACGCATCCATCCGCGGGGCCACGTAGGGTTTCAACCGAGACGTATGGACGAACCAGCGCCGAGATCTGAACCGAACGCGCGCGGACTGCGGGTTAGGAACCTCAATAAGCGTAACCGGCCCCTGCCATGGTTTATGCAGCTTAGGGGAGGTTCCTGGCCGCACCTGCGGACAATGCAACTAGGCCATGTCCCCCACCTTCCAGGGGCATTTCCCCTTTCGAGCGTCGAGCGCAACGTTCGTTCCGGGCCTGGGTCTTGGCAGTAGCCAATCAGGCCCCCTCCCGCGCCTCGGCGACGCGGCGAACAGCGTCTTGAATGTAGTCGGGGAGAGGCTTACTAGGGCCTCTCGCTCCCGTTCCCAGCTATACGTCCATTGGCGGCACAGAGAAAAAACGGAGAATACCCTGTGGATGCGTGAGGCGTCATCCGGTATGCCGAGAGTACCCCAGGGATATGCAAATCCCAATCAGCTTGCTTCTCGTTAACCGTGTGACATAGCATGGCTGACAGCATCCGATTTAGCTGTTCCACCATGCCATCCGTCTGCGGGTGGTAGGGAGATGTACGGATCTTCTTAGTTCCCAGAGCAGCGCATACCTCGCCCAACAATTTAGAAGAAAAATTTCGGCCCTGATCCGTGAGCAACCTCTCCGGCGCCCCTTTGTCCATCACATATCCAAATAGAAAGGCGTCCGTAATGGACGCCGCCGACTGGTCGGGTAAGGGCCAGGCCATCGGCCAGCGGGAGAGATACTCCACTCCAACTAGCAAGAATTTATTGCCTCTAGCGGATGGTGGGAAGGGTCCCAGAATATCCAACGCCACCAACTCGTTAATCCGAGACACCTATATAGACTGCACAGGCGGCACATATGGGTGTTTGGGCGGCTTTCGCCGGGCACACTCGGGACACGCGCGAATGTGTCCGACGACATCCGTCGTCATGCCGTGCCAGAAGTAGTCTCGCTGCAACGTCAACAAGGTTTTCTGCACCCCCAGATGAAATAGAGTGTCGCAGTGCAGAGTCCTAATCAATTCGTACCGTAACGATGACGGTACAACCAGACGCCAGCGATCGTGTAACCCCTTCCTCCACATCAGCAGTCCGTCACGGAGAGCGGCCCCCGGCGTCCCTCCGGAAAGCAGTCCCCCCCCTCCTTTCGCAGCCCGACTCCGCAAAGCCCCCAACGAGTCGTCAAGCATTTGTTCGCGAATCCACACCGGCCGCGGCAGGTTCAGAACCCCATCGGCCGGTCCTGGGCACACTGGAGCCTCAGGCACCTCCACCGCTGACACAATAGGCCGAGGGGGTTGCTGAGCCGGCCTACACCTATGCGTACCCGACGCGCAAGCGCAAGGGGACCCTTGAGGCAATCTGGAGAGCGCGTCCGCATTCGCGTGCCGTGACCCCTTCCGATGTTGAATTTGGAAAGAAAACTCCTGCAGGGTTTCCAACCATCGTGCCAGTTGGCCAGATGGTTGGTCAACCTTCAGAGCATATTGTAAAGCCGCATGATCCGTGCGCACAATAAACGAACGGCCGTAAAGATACTTCCGATATTGGCGGAGAAAATAGACAATAGCCAAAAGTTCGCGGCGAGTAACGCAGTAGCGGGTTTCTGCGGGGGACAAGATGCGGCTACCGTAAGCTACCACGCATTCTACACCGCCCTTGGACTGTGACAGAACGGCCCCGATCCCAGTGTCACTCGCGTCCATGTCCAAAATGAAAGGGTGATCGAAATCGGGATAGTCTAATGTTGGCGCCGTCGCCAAACGATCGCGTAGGCCCTTAAACGCCGCTTCCTCTGGCGGTCCCCAACTGAACCTCCGTCCTTTACCCATAAGGAGGTGCAGAGGCCTAGCGATCGTCGCAAAATTGGGAACGAACCTGCGGTAATACGAAGCAAACCCAAGGAAACGACGCACAACCCCCACCATGGCCGGGGTTGGCCAGTTGCGGACGCACGCCGTCTTCTCCGGGTCCGTGGCAACCCCTTCGGCACTGACTATGTGTCCCAAATAGCGCAATAGGTGACATTTCTTTGGTTTAAATTTTAGATTGGCGGAGCGCATCCTAGCGAACACCGCCTCCAGTCTCTGTAGATGTTCGTAAAATGTGCGGCTAAAGACGATGATGTCGTCTAAATATATCAGACATGTCTCTCACTGCAACCCCGTTAATACCAGCTCCATCAACCTTTGAAATGTGGCGGGGGCAGCATTTAACCCCATCGGAAGACAATTGAATTGAAATACGCCCTGCGGCGTACGGAAAGCAGTCTTTTCCCTCGAGGGCTCATCCAGGGGAAGTTGCCAGAATCCCGAAGAGAGATCCAGCGTTGAAAAGAACTTCGCACCCGACAAGGCATCGAAGGAATCATCCATACGCGGCAGGGGGTACGCATCCGCCACGGACACCTTGTTTAATTTGCGGAAGTTGACGCAAAATCGCAGATTGCCGTTTTTCTTTTTCACCAGGACTACCAGCGCGCCCCATGGGCTGTTAGACCGGGATATAATGTCTGCCGCCAGCATGTCCTCCAATGCTCCACGAACATGGTCCCGCTCCGCCGGGCTCAACCGATGCGAATTCAACCGAATCGGAGCAGCGTCCCCCGTTTCAATGTGGTGGGAAAGCAGGGAGGTGCGTCCCAAGTCAAAATAATCCAAGCTAAACACATCGGAATAACTCAGCAACAGCGCGCGAAGCGCGGATCGCTGTTCCCTGGTCAGGGATGAATTCTCCCCGCACAACTCGGCAACCCATCGATCATCTTGGGCCGTAGGGTCCGAAACTCCCCCTACCACGTCCCAGCGGCACCGGTCGTCATGGGCCGTGAACGCTGTCGTGGCATGAGCCACAACCGTTCCGGCCTGCACGCAAACATTCTCCGCACTCCCATTTAGCACTTGCAAAAACGGCGGCTGCCCCGGCCAGACAATGGTTTGCGCCCCAACCAACGACGACCCGCCCGTTATGGTTGCGGACGGTGATAACAAAACCCCAGGCGCTCCCTCTAGACCAGGCACCGGTTTCCGATATCGCAAAGGGATAAGCATCTGCGAACCAGGTGGAATGTCAACAGATACCTCGGACTGCGCCTGCACCTGGAAGACCGGAGCGGGCCCCCCCTAGGGCGACGGCAAGAATGACATTTTTCGACCCCCTGGTAGTTCAATGCAATTTTGATTAACCCTTATTTGAATGGGCATTTTAGCCAGAAAATCGGTCCCCAACAAACATGGAACCGCAAGGGACCTCGAAATCAACACAGTTCCTGAGGCCGACACCCCCCCGATGGATATATTGGCGTCCACCTGGCCCACAATGCCCATACTTCCCCCGTTCGCTGCTATGCAGGAATCATAAACCGGTCGCACCGCCCCCGGCGGGATGCCCAAAAGATGGAAAATGACATCTGAGATAATCGTCGCGGACGCACCGGAGTCTACCAAAATGCGCACGTCGACCCCTTGTATAGAACCCGGCACAGTGGACGAACCGGTAGCGGCCGCAACTACCCTCCTTGCCAATTTGCGCCACTGCGTTAACGAGCGACACAGGTCAGTCGGTGGCTTCCCGCTGTTAACGACACACGGACCGCGCGGCGATGGTGATGCATGAGGTGACAAGCCTTGCCGGGTGTCTGGTGCGCACCGACTTGCCTGTTCCGGAGGGTCCTTCCGCGGCACGTCCGCGACCGAGGCCTCCTGCTGGGGCGGTCCCGGGATACGGGCCCAACAATCCCTGGCGAAATGGCCTTTGCGGCCGCAGCGAAAACACTCGACGTCGTTGCGGCGCACAGCACTCCGTCTGTCCCGACGCTCCCGCGTCGGCGGTGCAGACCGCGGCCCCGGCCCTCCCCGGACAGACCACTGCGCGGAGGCGGCCGTCAATCCCTGCGGACCCCCGTCGTCAGGAATGTAGACCGCCTTCTTGGGATCCCAACCCATGGCACCCCCTTCGACGATGGGCCCCCCCGTCCAAGCTGTCACCTGTTTTCAACGACGAAGGTTAAACTGGGCATCCAAACACTTAGCTGCAGCACGTGACGTCAACTTCTCATGGCCGCACACCGGCATAGGGATCCCCAAGTCTCTCGATTGTTCCAGCATTTTGCCCAATATAAGGGGTTCCAACAGGTCAGGCTACAACTCAGGGTATGCGGCCATGGCCAGTTCCAGAACGGCACCCCTGAATGCCACCGGCGACTCTTCTGGCGCCCGCTGTCGCTGAACGAATCTTCGGTGAGCGTCATCCGGAGGCTCGTACGCGTCCGCCATTTCCTCAAAGACCCCTTTCAGTGTCTTCTTCTTGTCGGCCTTGATGGAGCGGAAGAACCTGACGGACTCATCGTCTATAAGCGTTCAAAGTCCAGTATATCCTGGTGGAAGCGCTTGCCTTGCTCCTCCTCGTACGCTTCCATGTTCTCCTTGAATCTATCAAGATGAGCATCAAGGATATGGACTTTGAGGGACATCATACAGCCCATTGTGCCTCAGTTTGTCACCAGAGTCTCAAACAGCTCCACATAGATTTCCAACTTGTGATTGCTCAGGAAGCCACGAACCACTGCTACAGAGCTGTTACAAGCCGCTTTCTCCTTGCTAGTGAGCTTTTTGGGAATTCATTACACTCCAGGATCTTCTTTATCTTTCTGAGGCAAAGGTCAAAACCGGCTTTGACCTTTGCCTCAGACAGCTTAGGGAAGAAATCTTGAAGGTACTTGAAGGCTGCCAACTCCTTATCTACAGCTCTGACATTGTTTCATAAGGCACAATTGGATGTGCAGTGGCTCTCACTTGACATTGTTCCTCCCCACGGAGAACTCGATCCTCACAGCTCTGCACAGATGAATGTATGACTTGCTGTACTGCCATATCATGGCCACCTCTTAGCCTGTAAAAATAAATCTGGTATTTCCAGATAGCCCCCCATCTTAGCACTAACCAGGCTCATATCCAGAGTATCTTCCAAGATATGACAAGATTGGGTACATTGACTATCGATTAAAGAATGTGGAATTACCAGCACTGTTTCATGACCTCCAGTGGAAATGAACACTGGACCATTGGTTACTTGAGAATGTTAACGATAAGAACTTTATTTCGTCGGTTTGACTATCTAAAACCTGATTTTGATATTGTGATGAATTTCCGTGTGCAGACCATGCCAAGGAATTTGGAGGAAAGTTTGGAGTCCAGACTGACAGGCTGGATACGGTAAGCAGCATTGTGCACCATACAGATCTGACCCTAGCTCGATGTTATTTTTTCCAAACAGAACATTGTAGATCTTCATTTGAAGCTGTCAAGACTGCAGGAATACATACTCTTTGGTTCTTTTGGTATAGTCACGTAGGTAGAAATAATAATAGATCATGACGTTTCAATCGCAACACACGCAACCGTCCTCAGGTGAAAACATATACAGCAGGAGAACTGCTGGGGCAGGAAAATATAGAGAGAGAGCTGCTGTAACAAGAGGTTGCAGTGAGGGAAACAAGTATTGATTGCTTCTGTGAACAGGTGTTTTTTATATAGGTAGGAGCACTCCCTTTAAGAGTGTGCTCCTAATCTCAGCTCGTTACCTATATAAAAGACACCTGGGAGCTAGAAATCATTCTCATTGAGAGGGGGTCAAAAACGTATTTCCTTCATTAAAATGCAAATCAATTTATAACATTTTTGACATGCGTTTTTCTGTCTCTCACTGTTCAAATAATCCTACCATTAAAATGATAGACTGATAATTTCTTTGTCAGTGGGCAAACGTACAAAATAAGCAGGGGATCAAATACTTTTTTCCCTCACTGTATCACCAACTCTACCTGCCTCCATCACCCACTGTTGGCGATGTAACCATCTCTCACCCTCACCTTGTCTCACCCACCACTTATTTCACCTGCGTTGTTGTTTCACATTCACACGCACGGCTATTGTTCACTCGTCTTTCATCCATCTTTCTACATCCCCCTCCCCAAGTGGTCTGGAGGCACAGCGTGGTGCAATGCACAGGCATCATGGCAGAACACAAAAAGACTGACGGCCGCTCCTCAAGGCTTTTCAGAACAACCAGAAATGTACTTCCCCAAGTAGATCCCATTGTCCTAGGAAGTTATTTGTTTTCAAGGGCGACTTTGCCAGAAGACAACATAAAAGCGTTCTATCATTACATACCCACTGACTGGCCCAATCATACAGTCATGCAATCACACGTTCACTTGTCCTCTCAATCAACCACTCACTCACCCACTCACTCACCCACTAATACACCCACTCACTCATTCACCCACCCTCCCACTCGCCCACTCATTCACCCATCCTCCCACTCGCCTACTCTCTCACGCATACTTCAGAATCACTTCCCTGACTAGTGCAAACTGGGCTAAGAAACTCTTTTTCAAGGTCGATCCCGCCGGCAATTGTGGGCAAGTTTTTTTGTCGTTGGCCCTCCAAAACTCTTTGCCTACCATAAAACCCAGCAACGAAAATAACTAAAAAAGCCATTTTTTTTAAATGGCAAAAAAAGAAAAATATACATTTCAAGAGCCACTACAATGCAGGTCATTACAAGACGTGGGCATGTGTCTTGCACTTCTTTGGCACCGTACTTAGCCAACCGTTTTAATCATAGGTGCGGGAGATCGAAATCAAACTAAATACAATAATCATCAGTTTTAAAGAAATTAGTTTGTTAATCTCGATTATTTAACAGCACATAACTCTAGTGGCTTCCTAACCAAACCGGATCAGTCTTGCACTCAGACGACAGCTGGTGGGATGCGTTGTGCATGGCTTGTACGAGTGACAGAACTGGCGAAACCTGCATTTCTGTATGGGGGTGTTTTTTTGCAATCAGGTTGATGGGTTACATTTTGAAGGCATGTTTTAAATTCTGCATGAAGCTCATTCTTGGTTTATTTTCCATGCGTCAATCGGTGCCATGGACACCCTTTAGCTAATGAGAGGTTCCATCTGGGGAGACATTTCCCAGGTGAAATATTTTAAAAATTTTACCACTAGCCACCCTCATTGCTTTGGAAACGGTGGTTGTCTTGCATGTGTTTAACTTGCATAAGGGGTAAAAACAAGTCAGCTCAGCTTGTGAAAAAATCAAATTAATCCGTTAAGGAGCAAAGAGTTGCGGGATGGGAGCAAATATCGTTCCAACAAAGACAACTCGCCCACCACTCGCACCAAATATCATTTATTTCAACGGTTCCTCTACTTTGTATTCATTTATTTTACGATGTATATATTTTTCATGTTGTATATTAATTGTGTGTTGTTTCACTTTATTTTTCCCATTCAGTGTTAGCTGCTTAGGTCGTGATGGGTTTTTTTCAATTATTGTTCTTTGCCCTTTCTACAGTCACCGTCCTGCTGTAGCATGCACCGATGCTTACTTTAGTGAGGGTGATACTGTATATGGTCGCGGGACATGGATGAAGGGGGGGCCATGGTGAGTGTGGGGGCGGGGTGTGGGCTGGGAGGCAAAATTGTGAAACCGAGGGTTAGCTGGGAGGCAACGACGGGAGCCGAAAATTAGGCTTTGTGATGTAGATGGTGGAAGTAGATAAGCAAGCTAGGATTAAGCCGCATTTTGTTATGCAATGCGCAGGCTAACAACGTATGGAGTTCAAACTGATATGTGCAAGCTAAAAAACAACTAGTGGTACACACTACCATGGCGATGGTAGTGTGTGAAACTGGGGGTAACAGACTGGGAATATGGACATGTTCATGAAAATAAATCTAAACCGGCTGTCTAGCAGTAAACTGCCCGGTAGCTAACGTTTAACATGGTTAATTACATCTTTTCAATGATTGCACAATTTGAATCCATCATCTCTGTTGAAGTTACGTCTATGTTTGTATATCTGGATGGCTTCATGGACAAATCTTTGGTAGTATCCAGGAGGCTTGCAGAGCACCTTGGTATCGGAGATCACAATGTCATGAGAACCAGCATCATTTTAACAGTGGTCGGCTACGGCCGAATAATTCGTTCTGCCATGTTTCAGATCCAACTTGTGCTCGCGAATGCGATCAGAAATATGTCGTTTCGTTTCCTCGATGTAACAATCCCCACAGGTGCAACTTAGTTTGTAGACACCAGGATAATGTAAGTCAAGAATGACATCCTTTACGGATGGGATCAGATCACGGATCTTGTGTACTGTACTGAATCGGACCTGGATCTTGTGTTTGTTTAGAACTTTGGAAATCTTTTTGGTAATGCCTGCTATGTATGGCAACGTTTTTGCTGATGTTGCTAACATGTTTCTTAGGATTCTTAAGGATAGTGGCTATTTCAGCTTTCGCAACGTCCATTTGGATGTGTCCTAAGCCTTTAAGGGCTACATCGATATGGGAGATTATATCTTCTACTGGGATATGTTTACGGGTAACTGCGAAATTCAGCCCTTTAGCTAGTATCGTTTTTAGATTATCAGAGATCGGGATGTTACTTTGATTGATAACGATCTTGTTAACATCTAGCTTTGTAATGCGTGGTTCTGGTTTCTTCTTTGCTAGGAGGTTGAATTTAGCAATCAGGTTAGCGTTACATTTGGTTGACAGTGAATCAGCAGAGGATGCTGTCAACACGGTCCCAATTGGAAGGGGACATTTTTTGTGTTAACATTAAATCATTAAATCTACATCACAAAGCCTCAGTTTCGGCTCCAGTCTTTGCCTCCCAGCGCACTCTCGGTTTCCCAACTTTGCTTCTCAGCCCACACCCCGCCCCCACACTCACCATGCCCCCCTCTCCCTCCATGCCCTGCGACTATATAATCCCTCGTCACAGCCATCTCTGAGACACACTTAAGCGTTTGTGCTTTCACTACGTTGTACCCACCTGAAGAAGGACGCTTGTGTTGCGCCCGCAACGTCGTGATTTAATTTAGTTGTTTTTTCATTATTATCTTTTTCTTTTATTTCATACTTTTTACCTACGTGACTTTACCGAGGAAACCAAAGAGTATGAATCCTTGCAGTCACGAAAACTCCAAATCTAGAAAAAATTGGGCCAGTATGTAGATGGGTGAGTTAATGGTGGAAACCATCGGACGGAGTGGGGTACCTTCTTTATGGATTTTTGTAAAGCCATAAAATCTGAGTGGTCTAGCAGCCGAAGGTTTTAGAGAGAGCTGCTTGGTCGGTTCAATTATAGAAGTCGAATTAGTGATGATACTGTTGGTTTTCGTAGCCAGGCGGTTGGTAAGATCTCTATTGATTTTGGTATAACTGCCATCATTAAGAAGGTCCTGCACTTTGTTGTTGTAAGTGGTTTCATCCATGATGACAGTGGCATTGCCCTTGTCGGCTGAGAGGATGACAATGTCATCTCTCTTTTTGAATTGAGCGAGTTCAAAACGCTCGTCCTTGCTGATGTTGCTAATGGGTTTCTTAGCATTTTTGAGGATAGCAGCGATTTCAAATCTTGCAACGTCTGCTGGATATGTCCCAAACCTTTGAGGGATACGTCAACCTGGGCAATGAAATCATCCACTGGGATGTGGTTTGGGGTGACTGGGAAATGTAACCCTTTAGCTAGTACCGATTTTAGGCTGTCGGAAATTGGGCTGTTACTCTGATTAAAAACAATCTTGTTAACATCTAACTTTTAAATGTGTCTCTGGTTTATTTTTTGACAAGAGGTTGAATTTTGCAATCAGGTTAAGTTTTCCTTACAGTTGACATTGAAGTAGCTGAAGAAACTGTCATGTTATCTACATGGTCCCAATCAGATGTGGACATTTTATCTGTTAATGATGAGTGTGATTGTTTGCACACGTCCTGCAGCAAGGAATATTCCCCTGGTCGGTCAGCAGCTGCCCAGGAGCACCTTTGTCCAGGACATAGCCCTGGAGAAAGGCCTCCGTGATGGCTGCAGTGGACTGGTTGGGGAGTGGCCAGGCCATAGGCCATCGAGTGAAGTATTCTACCTCAACCAGCAGGTACTTGTTACCCCGGGGAGTGGCAGGGAATGACCCCAGGATGTCCAGCGTGACAAGTTCATTGATGCAGGACACCTGAATGGATTACAAGGACGGCAGGCAGGATGGCCTAGCTGGCGGCTTCCGCCGTGCGCACTGGATGCAGCCCTGCAGTAAGTTGGCCACGTCCCTTGCCATGACCGGCCAGAAGAAGTCCAGCTGGAGCATGGCAAGGGTTTTATTCACCCCTAAATGCAAGAGGTGCTCGTGGACAAC